AATAAGCCATTTATTTATTTTCTTTTGCTACAAACTTTAATCAATTTCATGACTTCCTGTTTTCATTCCTCTCTCTCCTTCTTTAACTTGTTTCATCTATGAAACTATTTGTTTCATTTCTAACGAACTTCCTTTCTATGTTGATCAGAATACAGAAGAACTGTTCATTTTTAATAAGAAAAATCGTTTATTTTAGAAAAAAAAATAACTGCTTGTGCGGCAAAATCCAGTGTTTGTCTATACAGTTTGCATTGATTTTCCCCCGTTAAATTTAATTCATTTAATATTTATCGACAAGAATAAAAAGGATACTCAGTTTTTCCGGACTTTTCATTTTTTTTTTCATATACAGTATGACATTATTTCTTCTTTTAATTATTCACACAAATGTATATTTGTTTCCATATACAAATATATTTATTATTCATGGTTAGAATTGTTGTTAAGCATTGAGTAAACAACTAGTATTATGTACTACCGTTTCTGAGCGTACAGTGCATAGATTAATCTCTTGAGTCTATTTTGCATAGTGTTTGTCAATTTTTTCTTTCAATTAGTGTACGTATTAAAAAAATACAGACAAATGCAAGTACATTGTTTCCTTTAGGAAAAGTGCTTTTATATACATACCTCATTTATCATATGTTGTATTCTATAAGACTGATTAAATAATAATAATAATGATCGCAGCCGATTCAACGCATTATTTAATTTATAGATAGTGAATAGTTTCTAAAAACAATCTAAATGTTTTAGCTAAGGAAGATCATATTCTTTATTTAATTTGAAAAATAAGCCTGATAACACTTTATACGAATCAATAATCAATTATTTAGAAGTAATCGACTTAAAACACCATTGAAATGATAAAGAAGATATGTGTTTCAAGATGATAACGTTTTTCTTGTTAATCATAAAATCCAACTTCATCAAAAATGAGAAAACTATCTTAGAATCTTTGATTGATGATACATCCTGTGGATTAGTTGTTATTTGAATTACTGAGATTCATGAAATAACTTTCACTGGAAAGGTAAATTACAGTATTGATAGACTCAGTTGTTCCATTCTCGAATCATAGTTCACATGATCATACTTATTTAGCATAATAGTAATGCATGCATAATGAGGCTTAAGTCAAATGAAACTATCGATAAGAGCCTTAGTTACTGGTGTTTTGCTACATATTGTTAAAACTTAGTGAAATAAACATTATCAAAAATATGTCTGCATATTTATCGCTTCTATATTCAAATGATTTTAAATAAACATAATTAACTCACCTAACTATTAAAAACAATTGGATGTTTTGTTTTCATACACCAGATGACTAGCCTATCTAAATCATATTTCATTGCAAATTACACCTCAAAATAGCCGATTATTACACATTGGTAGCAAATATCTTTACTAAATCAACAAACGAAAATCTACACTCTGAAAACAGAGATTTTAAATAAATACTTAATGTTATTTCCCCTAAACAAGCATTAATATTCAAGCTTCACAACCATAGAGCATTACACATTAGCCTAACTGTTCATCACAGTTGATGCAGTGTATGTATAAACAGCTCAATCAGTTCCATAAGTTTAGAGTTCAGGGAATCACTAAAGACTGCATAATTTTTGTTCTCATTTCATCTATCAAGTGACTCTTGAAGGATCGTAAGTTTGAAAATTTTAATAGTTATTTAACCTCAAGATAAATATATTTAATGTATGAAATGATCTAATTCAAATAATAATGTATTAAAATCAAGGTGAGTCATAAATAGATCATTGAAATACATTAAGACAATGTAATCAAACTAGATAAATTTGAGTCACAGAAATAATATGACGTTTAGATATATGTTTGATATGTTAAACCACTTTATAATTAAAATGAATATTAACTTACTAGACTCTGAGACTGGTAAACATAGAAAAAGAAATGAAACTTCGAATCTTTTACATATAACATTCAAGATCTTCGATTCCTGTTCAAACGAACTGACTATATCATATGAAGGACTTCTATCTCATCGTTTTCATCAATTTTCAGTCAATATGGTGAATTGTTTAGCACAGTTAAATCAAGATCTAATCTAATCTATCTAATTTCTAAATATGAATTTAATCATGCCTTAATCAGTGCCACCTTTACTCACTTCGATTATTATTCTTATAACTTTATTATATTTATAAACAGACTCAATCTAAATACTTTTTTAATAGGGATTTCAACAATTACTAAGTCTAACAAACTAATTTCACTTACAATTATATACATATACATAGGCAGAAAACTTGATTCTACCTTTAAATTATTAAACTGGACTACATAATTGCTAGAATTTGGTGAGAATTTATTGAAAATAATATTCTTTTTGCTAAATAAGTAAGAATAAACATATTATCAATGACTTTCAAACTGTAGAATCTTAAGATGTGCTTTCAGAAATGTATTTATATAATTACTGGACTGAAATGGGAAGACTTTCCTGATGAAAATTTATCAACACGTATAAAAAAGTTTCTTAATTTATGTTTTAAAAGTGACTTTTAACTATGATTTGATTAGTATTGATAATGTAATGTATTGATCACAAGTGAAGCATTATTACTTAGATTTTACGGAACAAAAGAAGCTCGTCATTTTTGTTTCTTGAAATTACCTTAAGAAATAATTAAGTAAACCTCTATTTAATCTTATGGCTTACTGTCTAATTGTTCTTTCTAAACATTGACCATAAGAAATTACGGAAAAATAATTTCCGAAAATTACGAAATACTTCCATTTAGACATTTAAAAGAAAGAAATGAAATGATAGACGCTATTTTTTCAGTTAGATTTTTATCATAGAACTGTGGTGCGTGCTACTTATATTGACATAAGTAGTATATAACGCGAGTCATGAATGCAATGTCTGGCAGCAGTAGATTGGGAAGAGCAAAAAGAAAGAACAGGAATAGAAAGCAATTAGTATAGAAATGCAAGAACAATGAAGTCCGAGACGATTATTGAACATTTTGCAAATTAGGTATTATAGTATGTCATTAAAGAGAAAGAATGTATTTGTAAAATCTTAAATTCTTTCGCTGAGATTTTACAAATACATTCTTCCTCTTTAATGACTCACATTAACTCGGTGCCCAAATATTGTGAAGCTATTCGTTCAAATTTAGACGAGAGTTCTTATTTATTATAGTATGGTTTTTCTATTTTACCAAGTAACTCGGCAATGTTGTGTTAAGTACAATTCGGTTGTCCTCGCCTGTGTTCTCCTTTACTACAGAACTACACTAATTTAGTCATGCTTCATAACTAAGATGAAAACCATCCACAAGTGAGTGGTGGTGAACTATATTTACCGACTCCTTCACCAGATATGAGTTTTCGTACTTGGCTTTGTGTAGTACTCCAAGCATGAAGGCTAACGATACTAACCGGTTACTCAAACTGAAACAGATGGAGCTCGATTTGAACTTACGACTCATGACCTAAAATTCAAACACCCTAACTAACAGTATTCCAAGTTTAAATATTTCTCTATGAAAATACTAGAGAATGGTCTGCAACATAACTTCACAGTGAATGAAGATAACATAGTTTGAATAATAAAACTTCTCATTGAATAAATAAATTACCGGGTTACATAAAATCCATTAAGAGAATTCAAAAGTTCTGTGACTGGTCTCGTTAGCAGCATTTAACAAATATGCATTAATATAATATCATATTGGCAGCAAAATCTGACCTAAAACCTCCTCACGGCGCCGTTGAATGGTAGGAGCAACCTTACTGGGCTACCTGTTCCTGCCATCTAGATATTTCAACAAGTTATCTATTTGTGTTTGTTTTAATATATCATTATTTTTATGAATCGCATAACCTGTTCTGCTACGTTTCTGAAAAGTGTTCAACCTTTCGTTGTCAAAGTTACAAAAAAAAACTCAATAAGAGACAATGTGGTTGCTGGCAATATACAGCGAAAAGAATGCACATTATTCAGATGTTCATTTACTGAACTGCTAACATTTAACTGGCGATCACTCGATATTTATCGCCAGGACTGACCAAAAAGAAAGAAACGGAAGCTTGTTGAAATACTTTACTCTGAGAATTCTATATTATACCAAAAATATAATATTGAATAAAGCTGATGATTATAATTTTGATTATAATTATAATTATAATAATTATTATAATTACTAGCCAGCGTAGGTGATCGACGAAGATCGGACTGATCACCAACTCTGTTGTGTCCTTAGTCAACTCGGGTCCCTACTCGAAGCTCCCTTAATCGCACCGGGCAACCTGATGTATATCTAATGTATAAGAATTGCAGATATCATCAGGCTAGTGTAGTTCAAGTATGTAGGTGTATGCAAAGGGTGTGCGTGTGGTGTCGTACAAAGGAAAAGTTAACTGAAATGTTATCTACCCTATTTTCAATAAAATCAGCGGCCTAATCTATCAGGTCGAAAAAATTATAAAAAGATATGATAGGAGAGGCTATCAAAAACCTCCCTCTTGAGAGAATGCTTGTGTTTATATGTGTGTTAGGAAGTACTGGGGTGGTAGCCATGGGCTGAATGATATTCATGTAGTGTGTAAGAGACAGTCTGTGTAACAAATACATTTCCAATGAAAGTGGTAAACATCTACTCTCCCAAGTCGGTGAATATACCTATATATCTGCTATGAGATGCATGGGATAAAATCTGTGTTATTGGTGTTTAAATAATATGCATTTGTTCACATGGTAGGTATACCTGTATGTATACCAAGGAGTACTCGGATGAAAGTCCGTGTGTTACCCAGTATGCGTACAGACTATACCTATCCAAAGTAAGTAAAACTCTCAACAATCCTTAACTTGATCTTATTACGATACAAATATATACGCAAGGACCTGCGGGACGGCGGATACCCACAAAATCACATCCGCGCGGTGAGTTTAATTAATTTTGGACATACTTTTACTTTATAAATATAACATAACATAGACTTACAGAAACTGGTGGAATGGATTCAGATTTGCTTTTCTCTGAATGACATAATCGTCTGTAAACAATTTCTTCATGGGTTAAGAAAAATTGAGATATAACCTAATAATTAAGAAAAAAGTTTTAAAAGTAATTTTTGAAATGATTGATACGAATGAATACATAGAAACTAATTATGTGCATATCAATCAAGGCAGATTATAATTTCATTGATTAATCAGTGATTTACATAACCTTTTATTCTACACTTATATTTTTTTAATGACTTTAATCAGGATTATGGTTTGTGTTTATTAAATTGCATACAAATGTGTCATTTTATCAGAAATATGATTATTCTTTGTAAATCAATTGTTCTATCTTCAGATATATCCTTCCATCTGCAAGGATTGAATCAATAATTTGATTTTCGTAAGTAGCCAGGCTCAGTGATCCTACTACTGTGATGAATGAAGACGTGGTTAGGAGCAAACCAATTTATTGTACTAAGTAACATCACACACTACATTTTTTAAAATATGAAAACAATACATCGAATAAATCATTTGCACATCTTCCTTGAATTGTCTCTCACATGCCCCATCGTTCTTTCATTCCTGATGCTACTTGAACAGCTTCTACTTCTTCTCCCTTATGTTCCTCTTCTGTCAGTAAGAATCCTTATTTCAATTGTTGATACATACTACTTATATGTGTCCGTTTAAGCAGCACACACCATATTGCTAATATCATTCCGAGGAGTAGATAGTATATTTCTACATGAGCACATTATTTCCCCCTATTATTATATCAACTTTACTCACGGATTTATGAACAAAGTAATTCGGGTTAAGCAGTTATATTAGTATTAACTGATAATAATGAAAGTTATATAGAATTACATATCTGGATGTGTGGTTTAAGGGCCCTAATTTCAGTCTCTCACGGAATCGTGGGTGTGCACTGTTGTAAAGTCCTATACTAAGATAATTAGGTGTCCGAATTCCTCTAGTCTTTATTGATTGTCTAGCTAGTCAATGACTAATATAAAGTGACTCCAAAATGAACAATATCCACAAGCCTTTCATTCTAAATACTATTAAATTTAAACACTATTCAATGACTCAAAGTAGACGTTTGGTCCTCAAATTAATCTCCCACAGAATAGGTCATCATAGACTTGACTAACTTCATATTTAAAAATGTAGATTTCCAGTGGAGGTGTTCATTAAAAACGCAGAAATTCAGACAATCTAATTTGTGTAAAATAATAGATGACTGATCAAAAGTCAGAATAAACTTAGTCTTATCATGTACACATCACCTTTCATTCTTGAATGAATGAAGGTGGTTATTGTATTTTTTAGTGTAAAGATGGGGTGAATCGTCATTAGCTGGTGTATGAGATTACATTGCTATCTTGTTTAGGCATTTAATATGTTCTAAATAAATAAGTTTACCAATTTCTTCGAATATTTTGTGCAGAAGCAGTCACTTCATACTTATATTTTCGCATATGTCCAGAAGACTTAACCTGTTATAATAGCAATCATTTTAGTCAAATATCATGAGAGAAAACAGTGAACATCAGACAAGACTAAGCATACACGATAAAATTCAAGGACTTTTCTAAGAATAGGTATGTATTAGTGGTTTGAAAGCTTAGTTCGACCACGCCCAAACCCAACGAAAGTTCCCACTGATAATGTCATTAAATATTACCTTAGATTTGAATAGAACAGTCGATTACTTCACCATTGTGATCTTCAAGTATTACATCACTATTTACGCTTATTTTTAGAACGACTATGTACAATCAAGCTAATTTTGAAAGTTAGTCCGACTACATTTATAGTAATGAAACAATTTATTAAACAAAACTACTAAATTTGAAGAGGTAGACGAACGGATGTTTCCCAACATAACTGATCTTTAAATTCCAACCTAATAAGTTTCAGAAGACAGAGAATCATTGTAAAAATTACAGAGTTCTTTCGTAAAATGTGGAAAATCACACGCTAAATACTTCATTTGAAAATCTTCCTTTAATTGTTTTTAACTTCATCATTCCTTCGTTCCTGTTGTTATTGCAAATACTCTCTGTTTACACTCCCATTCTTTTTAATTCGATATTCTCAGCCTTCTGTTGTCAGGCACTCCACTTCTGATTGATATTACATACTACTTATGTCGACAGACACAAGTAGCATACACCACATTATCAGTGTTTGATTGTTGTGCATTTATTTTAAGGACGTTTGTTCAACTGAAGTTAGGGATGGCATAATAAAGTAAAGCATGATTGTACGAACTTTCATTTTAAACACTTAATATTTTCGGCCTAACAATTCATCAGACTAATCAATAAGACAGGCAAATACTTAGTTTAACTTCTCATTATTTAAGTAGTAACCTATATTCTGCTAATAAAATGACAGAAGTTCTGTTGCGTGCTAAACCCATGTGATGAATTATGCATTAGAAAGAATCATTTTACTTACATTAGAAAGTAGTTGAGCACGTTGTCGAATGAAATATAAACAAATGAGAACTAAAATCCTCTTCATATTTGTGATTTGTACCAGTTAAAATGAGACAGACTTTGTACAGATCAAAAGCTTTATCGACTCCGAGGTTTGGATAAATTACCTATACAAGCCTATTCTCTATGGTTATGACTAACATGTTCAGTTTCTCATTTCACTATTGTAGCACCTCACCTACACTTTAGTTTGTTCAGCTTAATTTTCACACGCCCTTCAAATAACTTTTTTAACAGATAGTGTCATTAGGCTAGTAACAATTTATTAATATCTTTGTGTTATTACTATCTTGTTTGTACGAGTATGCATACTTGATCACATGTTACAGCCTAAACACAGATATGTCATGATAGTTTTAATGTCAGTTCCTCAAATTGCTCGACGACTCATTCACTTGCTTAATATGTATGTGAATCTCAAATCTCAATAGTTCACTCACCCGCATTCGTTCGTATTCGCTTCGAGCGCTTTTCAATCTAGACAATACAATAATACACTATAGTCAACGCTTCGTATTATCTTCTGAAATTTATACACCATTGGGTGTTATCTAGTAACGGTTATCAGAACGATAGATATACGAAGCATAGGAATAAGTTCGAAGAAATTCTATTATACTATGATCCTGACCTATTGCCATTTTCTTTAATTATTGATCAGTTGTTGTTACTTCTTCCTAATTCTCCTCATAGTGATTAACTTGCTAATAAATTAACATTTAATTATTATATCTTTTATATTGATCATAGTAATAATTTTCTCTCATCTATAAATTGTCATCATTTTATCATTTGTCACCAGCTTTTAGATCAATACACAACTTCCATTTGATATTCGATATTTCTAGATAATTTATGACACAATCTCAATTTGTTGTCTAGTAGACCATACACGTTAGTATATTTATTACTGTAAAGTCCCAGTAAATGATATGACTGGAATGAAGAGTTACTTTACTGAATAGTTTTGGTTTTTTGAAAATGTATTTGCGAGATTCATTGGGGAGATGTGGATACAATAACTGTTTTATGTAATTCATTTGAATATTAACGACTGAATAATAGACAATTCTTTTAAGTCAATCACCTTCCTGTTCGATTAATTCTTTACTTTTAGAAACCATATTTTACCAACATTTATTTTAAATGTAAACTTAATTGAACAACTATCAATACTGACATTAGAATAGAACAAGACCAATTTTACAACCAACTCAGATCTTATTTCTAATCCAAACTTCCCTTTCGTCATTTTAAAGGGTTATTTTAATTACCAGCCAACATTAAATAAAGAACCACTGAATGTGTATGGACAATAAATGTCTTTTTCACCCTAGTTTAGGAATCCTTAACACAGAGCACTCATAGTCCCAATACGCAATTGCATTCAGGAAATTGTGAAGTGCTATACAGCAACTAACAGTTTAGTTCTTAATTTTTACTCAGATGCATTACTGTCAATGGAAATTCTTAATTTATGAATTTAGTTGTTAATAAATATTTTCATAAAAATTACATGATATAAGAAAAATAATTGAAAACAAAGTGGAATACTCACTTTTGCTAGTGCTATACAACCAACGTCTGTAATTTTATTGTTGCTAACTGATAATGTAAGTAGAGTACGGTTTGTTCTTAGTGCCTTTATTACAAAAATAAACAAACAATTTAAAAAAAGAAAATCGCTTGTAGAATATAATAGTTAGTGTAAATAGAATTGTAATATAGATTTATGACAGTACGTAAATCATACTATGACTAACAGTCGATTTTTAGTTTACATTCAAGAATAAGAAACCAAATTACAATAGTTATTTAATGGAAAAACAACCTAGGAAGATAAAGAGTACTAAACACATATTTCGTCTTATTTTCATGATGAAACCTTAGGCACTTGTTCTCCTTAACCTTAAAGATGACTAAAGATGAATTTCTAACTTGTTTACTTAGCTACTATTGTTGTTAGAACTAGTACTAATCAATACGGAAAATCCGTTGTTCACCCGATAAATCAAAAATATCAACTTGGTTAAGATTTAATAAAAATACATATCGATTATTTCGCGTAGCTGAAATCTAATCGAAAGGAAATTGGACAGATATGTTAATTTTGAAGATGGCGAAAGATTGGGAGATTTAAACCAAGCGGAATCGCACTCATTTTAATAGTTTTTTTTTTAAAAAAAAAACTAGATACAATCAATAAACCTAACTAAAAGAAAAAAATGCATAGTTAATTTGGAGAAGAAAATTATGGATATTCTTCTTGTTCTCCCCATAATTTCAACACAATAATACCTTTTGATCTTCAAGTGTTAAGTACTTGTGTATGTAAATTTTACAAACACACAAGGTATTGCCATGCATATCAGTTTCCATACTCATTAACTGGTTCATCATAAAAATTATTACAGCATAAACAGATATAAATGGACCAACAGCATCCCTAGATTTGTTGACAGGTTAATGTATCTAGAGTGGAACATTTGATAGAGTTGCAAATAAATCTGAATAGCTGTATGATTAGATACAATTAATGCTCAATACATTATTCTCCATAATACAAACATTCTTAAGACAATAAATTCAGAATTAAACGATATAGTCTTTTGTTTCTTGATCTTAACATAGTTCATATGAATAGTTAACTCAAGAAATATGAATCAGAATATAAGTAATTCCCTTTTAGTAACAATATTAGAAAGTATGTTTTAAATCATTCTGAATTATTTAAAAATTAATCAGAACAATGTATCCAATAATTGTGGTTTCAAAACATATTACATTTAATGATACTAATAAGTTATTAAATCATCAGCTTTTAGTTAATAAATTAATTAGACCGACACAGTAAATGTATAACTCTAAGTGAGACGGGTTCTAATTTGATACGGAGTATTAATTCTGTCTATTTTGTAAATATCCTTTGGTGATATAGGACAATTAGAACGATATCAATTTCCAGAGCTTCCCGCTGACTGGCTGGCTCCACCCATTTATCAAAAAACAAATTGATCTACAATTCTGAATTACATTTTCTAGTTGCTTCGTTCCAACTTTATTGATAGAACTCATTCAGTACCACGCACTAGTTGGAATAACAGTATTTATTACTACCGTAGAAATATTAGTCATAATAACGACAATTTTATGTTCTCACCAGTTACTAGTTTCGTGAAGAAATTCTAGATTTCTAGTGAGAAGGCCGTGGTCAGTGGGGTTAACGGTGTTGGGTATGAGGGAGGTAGTCATCAAAGACAATGAAAGACGGTCTCACAATGTCGTGGACTGACTGAAGTTAGACTTTCGCATCAATGAACACCAGTTCAGTGATCTAGAGATTAAGTGTTCGCATCTATGACCGAAGGTACGGGGTTGGATCTCCGGGTACGATGTCGTGTGTATGGACTACTGAGGGGTCTCATACTAGAACGTTTAGTGATGACCGTTTCTTAGTGGTTGTCTAATTTATGTCGGTTCATGATTTCATTGAAACATACTAGTCTCAACAACCTCAAAACTCATACTGTTTATGTGTAAATTTATAGTATTAATAATGGAACAATGGAATCTAATATTTTTTTAAGAATACGTATTATCATTTGCTTCATTGTTTACTATAGTGTTGAATAGGTCAAACTAATGAAATGTCTAAACATTAAACTAATACCTAAATGAGAATACTCTCTGAATTAATACAACCATCTCTAGACTAAGAATTAACAGAATTAACAGAACTATTGTGGTGTGTGCTACTTATATTGACATAAGTAGTATATGATGTTAGTGGTGGGCAGAAGGTCTGACAGCAGAGAGACAAGAGGATCGAACAGTAAAGAATCGAAACAGAATGCAATTTGTATGAAAATGCAAGAACAATGAAGTCCGAGTCATTTTGAGACAATTGGTGGACATTACTTTATGATTGTTAGATTTCATTAACAAGTCCTGTAATTTTGTGTTAAATACATTCGATTATCCCCACTCGTGTTCTGTTCACTACACTATCACTAATATCTATTGAAATAATAACCATCTAAAATGATCTCCTATAAATGACAAGAAAATGAAATTTTTACTCAACTATTTCATAACTAGTTTTTTTTAGAATTAACTCTGACTGAAGTATTGATTTTCGATGACATTTTATTTTTGTCCTTATATTGATAAGGATCAAGTGATGTATGGTTCACAACAAAAGTATATATAAAAACTTGAAATGAAGGTCAAAATCCAAAAAAGAGATTTCAAAGTGGATAATAGTTGGGATAACAGTTTTTATTAGATATAGTTTACGGATTTTTCTTTTTTCTTCTAGCCAGTGATTTATCAGATTATTAAACAAAAATTAAGGAAATTTGGGTAAGTTATCTGAGTTTAATAAACAAAAGTTAAGCCGAAATGAGTATTTGTGTTATTGTTGTAGTAAACTGGACTTCGAACAAGGGATAACTGAGATTTGGATGATATAAGGAAGAAGTTGTAAAGTAATACCAGATGTGAACTATATTCATCTTTTGTAAAACACTACAATCCTTTAAATTAACTTGGTGTTGTTTGTACTTGTATCTTCTCATTGTTATTTAGGGCTGCAATCGGTCAGTATCATGTTGGCATATGTGGTATATGTGCATCCTGTGCGGACGCCTCGACATAGCGTTAAGTCACAAGCTTTTTAAGCAAAGATGGATAGTGGTTAGCTGTGGAATCCAGAACGTGCGTTTCGTCCTATTTGGGACTCATCGGCTGGATGTACCTTTATCTCAGAGTTGATGTTTATTCTGGTACTCGAACCCAATACCGTTCGCTTCAAGCGCTATCGCGTTATCCACTTAGCTACTGAGTCCTGATAGCCATGTGCTTGTGTAATTAGAATATAATTATTTATATTTCGATTCTACTGATATTTGATGATTAGTTAGTGGATACCAAGTTAGATTTGAATATTTAGTTTACCATAGTAATAATAGTATTAAAAGTCAAATTAAATAGTATATAAACAAAGATAACATTCATTTTTCTGAATGAGCAAGATAAATAGAATGTAAAACTACATTGATTAGGATGTTAGAAACTAATCTTTAACAAATTAAAATATTTTTTTATTGTGTTTAACAAGTAATAAGTATGTGAAAACAGAATATTTTTGAAAATCTGCTACATGAATTAACATTTGGAAAAACAGAAACACTTAGCATTAGTAAGGGAATAATAAAATGTCTTAGATTATCAATCATTAACTTTGGTAAACGCGCTTAGTGTTTGTCCGCACCACTTAGAGCTTAATTTATTCTAATGTTTATTAAAATCTATCAAAAATCCATGTTACGGACTTTCATGGGTCCCATGTGTCCAGCCTGATTGATTGGTTAACGCTTCACTCTAATATCGATCTCTTAAAGGTGTTTCCACGCAAAAAAGATGTCTAAAAATATTCTTTATTTAAATTTCTGTAAAAACGTCACTTTCATTCGAAATAATCAGATCTTCTAATCATAAACTAACATAGTGAGAAGCGGAACGGTTTATTCACCTTTTAATAGATAGGCGATGTGTTGTGAACATGATGTCTTAAAGATTTTTTTGTACGCTTATCAGCCGATCTAACAAGTGATACAATATTATAAACTATTTTTTACGAAACATATTTTGACTAACAAACCATATACTTTTTTTTCCTTTTTCAGTTACCATCAATCATTCTGCTTGCTGTAATTCACTTTTTTGCATATATATACCTTAGGAAACATACACTTTAATGTTCTTCAGAAAAATATTACTCTGATACCCCCTACGAAGATAATACAATGGAACTCTACAAAAAATCACTTCTGTATAATAATGGAATACTATAGCCAATGTTAGCTATTAAACAAACATTTAAAATGGATTTATTTTGATGGTAAAAATGTCAAAGTTTAACATTATCCTATTACAAGTTTGACATAAGAAAAAATGACCACACTTGTTCACTATACTGATCACAAACTTATAACAAATGTAACTGAATTATTTTTAAGCTAAAAGATTTTTGAGTTTAATGTTCAATTTACAATTAGTTGATACATTTTGATTGGTACATTCAAATTTTTTATATTGATCCAAGGTCAGTCCGTGTTTTGATCAGTCACGTGTATTTCTCCGGTTTTAGTTTTTTTTTGTATTGTTTACTCAATACTAATTCGTACTTTCGAAAAGTTGATCATCATAAATGTTGATTATTACAAACAAGAACAACAATAAAGACAAAATAACTTATAAAACAAAACAAACATTACATAATCAGATATTAAATAATCCATATTTTCTGTATAATATGTTACCTGAGCCAAATAAATGATTCCTTCATCTCCTAACCGATTGCCCGATAGATCAAGACTTATTAATTTTTTATTGACAGATTGTGTTGTTCCTAATCGTTGACTAATCAATTTTGCTTCCATTGGTCCAATTTCACAATATCTTAATCGTAATTTTGTTAAACTAATTTAAATAAGAGTGAACAATATTAAATAATCACACTCATTTGAAAGTTAAGAGAAGAGAATAACTTGTTTAGAACTATCTGAAATTGATAAGTTAATGATATTATAGTGTAAAATAAAAGCAAATCAACTTAAAGATGAATAGATTGTTATTATGATTCTGTACTAAAGCAATTAAATTGAAATGGTTACTCTGGACTATCATTTCAGTGTTCTAGTAAAATTTATTTTAACTCCAAATAGTTAGTATATATCTAGATGGCAAGGAAATTAGAAGCATCTAACTGTTACCTATTCATGACATCATATATTGATTTATATTTTCCATTTTTAATTTCGAGGGGTTGTAATAAGATGTAGAAGGCTTAGTGCTAGCTTGGTAATGGTGTAGTTGAAAACAACTTTACTCGGTCATAATAAACCCAGAATCTGGTACAAATATGAGTTTATCTAAGTTACGATACAGAACTAAAACGGTAAGATTAAGTCTACAGAACGAATGGTAAGAGTCAAAATGATATTATGAAAGATTCAAGATTGAGAATGTAATGTGAGATACTATTTAAGCCCATATAACTTATTCTAGCTTCTGGACAGGCCAATTTATCCACTCTTCTTGAGTTACATTTTGACCATGTTAATTATTCGCTCATTGACCTTGACTGTTTTTATGTAAGCGTATGCAAGTGCATTTCCTATCTTATTCATTACATCTCTGTAAGTTATTTTTATGTAACTATAAATATCGATTAATGCTTGGTTAAATAGTTAGCTTATATGCCTTCTCCACAGCGCGTCATTTCGCTCCGTACAGTAGAACTATCCTGACTTTCATATTGAAGATTCTGACTTTGGTGTTGGTTGACAGTCGTTTTGAGTTCCATATGTTGTTCAACTGTAGGAGTGCTTCCCTGTCTTTGCCAATCCTCTCATTTACATCTTTATCAGATCCTCCTTGTTTGCCGATAATGCTCCCCGGATATCTGAAAGTTTTCAACTCGCCCAGAGTTTCTCCATTAAGTGCGATTGGGTTGGTGCTTTCTGTGCTTACTGTAGACACTAACAATAAAATACAGTTATATCTAGCTGATGAGTTTTGAAAAGTATAAAACTGAGGTCCAAGATGCTCATACTAGCTACGATCCAAAAATACAATCAGCCTCAATCAGAACACATAAATATAATTCACAAGAATCCAGGAGAATTAGATGACCATATTTTTAATAGTAAAACTTAAGATATAAACGAACATAGATGTTAAAATATTAACTCTCCGACTGTAAATATTCATATACAGCTTTTTTAAAGTTTACTAATGAATCTTGTTGGTTTTCTTGCAGCTCTGAAAAATGAATTTCTTTTATAGTTATCACTCTTTCGAGCAATTATGTTCTTGATGACTTACGAAATAGTCAATAGTTTAAGTATCAAATAAACCAGTGTTCATTACAATTGGGTAATTAATTAACTAGGACATGGATGAAGTATCATTGTTGGTAATAGACTTAACAATTACCTAGAAATTTTTCTAAATGAATTCGCCTACAATGCCTTTTTCATTCAGTCAGTCACCTACAACGTAGGACCAGGCACATATATGCATCGGCTCAAGTTGCCATACCTCATTAACACAAAATGAACACCAGATTCATAAAAGTAGTTAATTCAGAGGTGGTAATATATAAAAGAAAGATTGCAATAAGGATATAGTATAGGAAGAAAGAATTAGTTCGTAGAAAGAAAGATATGAAACGATTTTAATCTTTTAGTTTAAGGGAAGACAGAGAGTGTATACAGCGACGCCATTGTGATCGATTCTGAGCCATGTCACCAAGAGTCTCCAACCATTGGTTACGATAGTTACGCGGACCCCAACCAAATAGTCCAGTTTATATCCTTCGTTATGGAATTCTCAACTATCTATAAATTATAGGTATCATTACCAAGGTTTGATTTGATAACTTCGAATAAATTGAGCATTGGGTAGGTTGTTATAAATAAAAATAATAGATTTGTAATATCCCAATGAGTGGGATATTACAATGGGATATTACAAATATATTATTTATTTATATCTTTAGATTAATTTGGATAAGATTGATATGAACTAATTTCTTTGATTTTTTAAAAATTTCTTTATTCACAAGAATGGACTAAAAGGAACTAAATCTATATATAAATGAAATAAGTAGAAATCATATATATATTACTACGAACTTATTGGATTCATCAATTAATTGAGCATATGAACCAATTTCTAATGCTTCATTAGCATCTATTGTTAATGACCTGAAGATAAGTACAACAAATAAAGAAGTAATCATGAAAAAAAATGATTTAAAAGAACAAATGATAAAGAACACCTTAATGCGTTTACCCTTTTTATGAAATATATGTATATTAATATCATATGAAATTTATTAACATATATACTATTCCAAGATGAGATTTTCTTACAAACAAACAATGGTTTATTACTTTTCATTCAATGTTCAATATAGTATATGTTAGATAGAGTAGATGGGAGAAAGTGACGTATAAAATGCTAGTAGATATTATCTTATAAATCGATCAATATTTTATTAATATAATTATTGATTATTCAATTGCTTTATGACATTTTTTTATATCGTCCTAGTTGTAATCTATCTTTGTACTCATTGACTTTTGCAATACTTTTTATCTTTCATAAATTATGATTAATTAACTATAAATATATTAAACAAAGATGGATGGTGGCTAGCTGTGGAATCCAGGATGTGCGTTTCGTTTTCTTTTGGAACCGTCAGATGGATGTACCTGCATCCCAGAGTTAACGTTCACTCTGAGACTCGAAACCAGTACCATTCGCTCCAAACGCCATCGCGTTATCCACTTAGCTACTGAGTCCTGATAGGCACCTGCTTGTGCAATCGGGTGAAGGACTCAGTAGCTAAGTGAATCACACGATGGCATTTGAGGCGGACGGTTCTGGGTTTGAGTCCCGGAGTGGACATCAACTCTGAGATGTAGGTACATTCAGCTGACGAGTCCCGAATGTGACAAAACGCGGTTACCGGATTCCACAGCTAGCCACCATTCTTATTTGCTTAGAATGCTTGTGACTTAACGCTATATTGAGGCAGTCCGCATAGGATGGGAAGTTACAAGCAAACGATACCAAATGAATATAAATCTATTATTCTACTTTGTATCAGCAATGTCCTATTGAAGTCTAATGTTTTTGATACTATTCAGTCTACAGTTTGCCTATATAACCACTTGAGTTATAAAATATATAATTATATTTATATTCATAATTATTCATTTAGTTCAGTGTCATATTTCTTTCTGTAAACCCAAATATCTCTAATTGTTAGATATTTTATGCATAACACCGCTCTTTATTTTATAAAAGTTTAAAAATCAGTTTATTTAGCTTTTATTTTTGAATAGCTGTGATATTAGCCTTGCTTTGAGGTTAACTACGAAAAAAGTCAACTCACTTTATAGTATTATTTGTAGATAGGAATGAAGTTAATTGAGTTATTTGTTCAGTTGTGAATCCGACCCTCCAAAATCTTTTTTGTATGAAAAAGGTAATGAGAATATGAAAACATTACTGAATTACTACGATGCACCTATTGAATTGTTTATCGTAACTATAAATATAATTAAATGGTAGAAGAAGCGAATCAGAGCAACACGTAAACGGAGAGAATTATTTCAGCTAGATCCTCATTAGACTTTACTCTAACATACAGTAATATTTATATTCAGATGAAGAATATTAAATTAATCAAGACAGGTTAGACGATTGTCATGCATTTGGATTAAATAACTTGTGTGGATCATTTTAAGTTACTTGCGAGTAGTTCAAACTGAATCTCAAACTTTTTCAACAGCGATTTGTCATGGCAATTTTTTCAATAAACTGTGGTCATTTTTAGTTGATATTTTTCGAAAATTAGTCAGTAACTAGAAAGAATTTTGTGTGAATTGTGACTCCTGCTCCTTATCAATTTAGAATAGGATCCTTAGACCATAATTATTATTAAGAATGTTTATAATAATAACTCCAGTATAATATTTGATTAGCCAGGTGATTTACGATAGTAGTTGATTAGCTTGTTTAAATTCAGAAATCATAATTTAAGTGAAATAAACTGTCGGATCATAAAAATAATCTTTTGATCAGTTTTAAACTTCATATCTATCATAGAATTTTACTTCATGATTATGTGAATATCATCCATGTGACAGTATTCTCTACATCGCCTTTTCAACTTAAATGTAAATCCAACTCAAAAACTGGAACAAATAAAAAGATAGATCAGTCGTTAAATACGTTAAGGCAACCACGATTCGAAGACTGATATCCATGTGAGGGAATTTATAAGAACATGAGCCCTAGTTAACAGTCATCAAGAAGTTTACTGATAAACCAGGAATATGACAGTTCATTCTCGCTAAACATGTAGACAAGCATAAAAATTTAGTTTCCGCTATATTTCACAGAGATTAATTCCGACCCAAATTAATTTTAGTCTTTGTGTGTTAAGTCCCCCTACTAGATGAGAAGACTCTCTGTATCTAAAAAGGCTTCTGGCAACTTGGTTTTATTGGGGGTTTTCTGAAATCATCTAAAATAAATTATAGTGAATTAACGTGAAAACTTTGTAAAATCAGTCATATTTTTTATTTATAACTATTAAAAACCCATCCTGTCTGATTTATTTGGTACATGTAATAAAAACCATTTAATGATTCAGAACCAATCCCAGTAACTCCCTGTGAAATTACAAATGTAGAATTCAGTGTACAAAATATCTCCAAGGCAATCAGTACATTGAAACACTCCTACACTGATGGACCAGATGGTATCCCATCTAGCATGCTAAAACGTGGAGGTGATGATATGTGTGTTTTGCTTCTCAAACTATTCGCGATATCACTCTCTTCAGCGTGTTACCCTACTGCCTGGAAAACTACACATATCATTCCCAAAATTAAAACAGGACCTGAAGCAAACGTTGAAAATTACCGGCCTATAAACATAACTTCAGTGGTATCCAGAGTGATGGAAAAAGTAGTTAAGGCGGCTGTAGTCCAACATCTACTAACTAATAATCTCATCTCGACCTCCCAGCATGGATTTCTTAGGTCCAGATCATGCGATACATGCCTAGTAGACTACCTGAATGATATAACTCTGAAACGAGACAGCGGACTCCTTGTATCAGTCCTATTCCTTGACTTTAAGAAAGCCTTTGATAAGGTCCCACACAAAAGGCTACTCGTCAAACTAAAGTCCTTCGGAATACACAACCCACTGTACTCATGGTTTGCTTCGTTCTTAACAGAACGTAAACAGATGGTAAAGTACAATGACTGTCTCTCGTCCCCTAGACCAATCACCAGTGGAGTCATCCAGGGAAGCGTATTAGGTCCACTTTTGTTTCTTATGTATATAAACGATATATGTAACACCATAGAATTTGGGAAACCATACTTATATGCTGATGATCTCAAAATAGTATACAGCTATAAGCCTGAGACACTAAGCGAAAGTGTATCCCAGATCCAAAAGGACCTCAATAACTTAACTATATGGAGTGAAAAATGGCAATTACCATTTAACCTCAACAAGTGCGGGATCATGCACTTTGGAAAGCATCCCTATAAACCGCGACTTCACTTAAATGAATGTAGAGTCCAAACATTCGAATCAGTACACGATTTAGGAATTAATTACACAGGAAGCCTAAACTTTGAAGAACATGCCTCCTAAAATATTTCTAAATCTAGACGGCTAATTGGTTTTATAATGAAAAACTTTTTCACAACAGAGGGTAAACTTACTCTCTACAAAATATGTGTACGACCCTCCCTTGAATACTGCTCTTTTGTCTTCTCTAATATGAATATCGCAGACAAGATAAGAGAAGAAGAAGTTCAAAGACGTTTCACACGTCAACTACTAGGATGTAACTCGAATCTCGATTACACAGAAAGATGTAAGCATCTATCTTTAGAACCTTTATGGCACCGTAGGCTAAAAAACAATTTAATATTTCTCTACAAAGCGATATATGGGCTCTCCTTTCTAACCTCCTGCCCGACTATCACCCACGACCCAGCCTATAGACTTAGAAACAACGCATATACACTACTTACCGTAAAACACCAAAAACAAATGCGTTGTAAGTTTTTTACAGTACGGTACAGTTTATTGTGGAACAGGCTGCCAATGCCTATCCGTAACTGTGATACGTTTACCAGATTCAAAAAGCTAATAACCCTATTTCTAGACTCCAAAGAGCTTCAACATTTCCTGGAACTCCCGCCCACCAAGGAGGCACTTTATTACGGACCGCCTAGTGTCTAGAAAGAACAAAATTATAACACGTTCGACTGTTACTAATATGAATATAACCAAATCACAGAATATATGGCCTATCCTTTCCTATTATTCATTGTTTATTAATCATGACTTCATGCTCCTAACCCTAGCTTTCAGTCCCCAAATCTCTACAGGTTAAATGTACATTATTCTTCCTAAAAGTCATGAAAAAAAAAAAAAAAAAAAAAAACAGATAGCTCAATCTTATGGATGCTGACCTACTAAGGCCGATCATACAAAGCTCAAAATTGGGCCACAAAGTCTTGTGAGTTTCTCAATGTTTTATTTGTCTTACCCTGAAATCTTTTTTTTTTTCTACAATTTTATACCCTCTCATAGCTTTTGATTTGCTAATAGTCCGTACTTCTTTAAACCATTAGTTATTTTCATAGCAGTGTGATATACTATATGGACATCTAACCCAAAAAAGACTTTTCAACTATCTGATTTGCTTGTAACATGGACCTAGTAGAGACAGTGTATTCCAACTATGGGCTTTGATTAAAGCAGTATTCATACTTACCACAAACGTAAGAGAGCCTAACATCACAAAAGGAGGGAGGGTGGCGTTACTGACCAGCAAACATGAAGGTGGGGATATAACTTCAATCCACCCATGTCTGTAGGGCAGAACATTTTGTTTAATTACGGCTCCTTATGTTTTAGTGAAATGTCACGAACTTATGGTATTGATGCTGATTTATCACGCAAAATACCTCATTAAATCGTGTTACGAACGTTGAATTGGTTTCACTTCCTACCCAGAAATCCTATTACAAGCAAACTAGACAATTCGCTAATATACGAAGCCTACTCAAGACCCTATAATACCTGAAAAAAATAATAATACAAAAAAAAGAAAGGGGCTCTAATAGCTTCGATAATAAAAGGAAGATAGCCAATTGTATATCACAATACTGTTTCTAGCACTAGATTTTATTTTATAATCACAAATAATCCCATACTTTCAGCTCCTTTACGAATCGCCTCCATTTGTCAGTTGTATGTCCACTCACACCTTGTTATCACTGATTTTATTTAACCCATTAAAATGCGATTTCTTAACAAATACCTTAATAAAAGAAAATTAGACTGAGTAATCATACCTTGAACATTCCATCATGAAAGTTGGCTACTCTGCCCCTCGTGTTTTCTTTTACTTGCTCCTTCTTTCAGACCCCTTGAGATATGGAACGGGTGACTTCATCCTGCACCATCCTTAAAGCCTTGGATATTCCACAGGGACATAAGGTTGCGATTTCTAGAAGCTCATACCTTCAATGGACCTATCCTTGACCAACAATCGCACATTTGCAACGCAACTTTCATGAAGCGCGCTAACTGTAGAACTGCTTAAAACCATCTACATTCATATCTTATAAATTGTCAACCCAGCTATGTAATTTACTACAGTGGATATTGTATCATTTGTATCAATTTGATCTTGCCTGTAAACTGGCATGCCTCATGTAACAAACTGTTATTTGAGAATAAATTATTATTATTATTATTATTATAAATCGACCAGCCTCTCTGGACCCACTCAACATCGAAGTAACATTCACGGACCTCCCAATCAATGTTGGCCCACTAACAATTGAGGAGATCAGCATGGCTGCCAGACAAATCAAGAGCGGCAAAGCAGGAGGACCAGACCGCAAAACTACGGGTAATTGTGGAATAATCAATTGAATGGAACTTATCCCTCTACATCAACTTCATTGACTACGAGGAAGCATTTGATAGCATGGACAGGACAACACTGTGAAAGCTTCTTCGACACTGCGGCGTGCCTAAGAAGATAGTCAATATTATACGGAATTATTATGATAGATCAAATTGCAAAATCGTGCATGGAGGACAACTGACAGACTCGTTCGAAGTAAAGACCTGTGTTATGCAGGGTTGCTTACTCCCACACTTCCTTTTTCTCATAATGATCGACTGGATCATGAAGACGTCAAAATCTGAGAGGAAGCACGGGATATAGTGGACAGCTAGGATACAGCTGGACGACTTCGCAGATGATCTGGCTCTTAGATCGCTAAACGCAGGAGAAGACGACCAGGATAGCAGCAGCCTCAATATACACAAAGGGAAAAGTAAGATTCTCCGACACAATACAGCATGCACCAATCCAATCACAAGTGACGGAGATGATTTAGAAGGTGTAAAAAA